AATTTAAGTATTAAAAAATTTAGAGAAGTACCGATAAAAAACTTTTTTTAATCAAGTCAGTTGCAGTTTTGTCGTTTCAGTTTTGAGGGCAAACAGAGGAAATGTGGTGGCATAAATAACGAATCCTCACCATCTTCAGAAAAATCTGATTTTTGTAAATGCAATATAATCCCTCAGATATCTTTCTCTTTTTAGTAATGAAGGTGGCAGGATATTAGTGAGTATTTTGTTTTTTCTAATTATTGTATTTTTTATCTTCTCACTTTAGTCATGGACAAGTCGAGTTGTTGGGCTGAATAACCCTCAGACAACCTTTTTTTTAAAATTTAACAATGATTCCACAAGATTTTTGACCGTACGCCCCACCGACGATGTGAGGACGTAGATGAGGGCTTGATGCTTTCTTGTGAAAAATGTTCTCCAGGAATCGTTTTAATGGACAACACGGAGCAGGAGTTCCCCCCAAAGGAGGGGCAAAGTCCAAAACTCACCCGCCTAAAAAAAGGGCTCCGAATCCAAGGGTGGCGCTGGTCATACGTGGGAAAATTCACCGCCTTTTGCAAGGTTCCGCAGACCACCATGTTCCTGAGTCTCACTCTTATTACAGCGAACAGGGAGAGGAGCGGGAGGCGCACGATAGTAGAAAGGAGCTCAGAAGTGTTTATCCGAAGGTCAGTCCGAGGGTTGAAGCCTTTCCCCCAACAGTATCGATCATTAAACAACACAGAGCGGCGTCACAACCTTCATGTGTTGGAGAAGTCGAGCTGAACAGAGAGGGATGTATAAGGATACCCTGCACCGTTAAGCATAAAAGCTGCAGACCGTCCAGTCAAAAACGAATATCATTTGAGAGTGGACTTCGAGAAGCTCCTGAACCAATGCAGCCACTCCCACACTATAGCCCGGAGGTCAACGGGATGAGATTTGCACCTGGAGGTCAAGATTTCCCTTCGCCTCGCAGTCGACCCAAAAGACCATATTCTGCTGGTGACTGTTTGGACTTCAACAGAGCCCTGCCAAATACGCTTCTGGAGGAGGACGAAGATAAAGAAGAGGCCTCGAGTGCCGTCATTGATCACATCCTGAAAGAGCTGAGGGGGATCAACAAGATCCAGGAGGAGATCTCTGACCTCAGGGACTACCTGACTTCGGTGCGTGGATCTGTGGAGGAGGTGTCCTCCTGTGTAGATGCCGTGTTGTTGGAGATTGAGGGCATTCGTTCTAGCAACAAAGGAGTTTCAGGGACTTGGTCCGGGAAGGGGTGCAAAGATGGACCATCTGCACGCAGAAGACCCGCCAGTGCTTATGGTAGTTTAGGTACCACGGTACCAAAGTCTGGATCTCACTATTTTCCTCCTGTATGCAATGAGCACTGCAACACACATGAAGAACTGCTGCAAACACGAACAGAAAAAGGTACGTCTCAACTTCCTGCATCGGTAGACCATCAGGAACTGGAAGAACCTGATGACACCTCTGACCATAGTTCAGATATACCAGAAGGTGCAACAGCGAGAAAACTGAGCTTTTGCTTTCTTGAGCAACAGGATGGCCAAGACTGTGTAAGCACTAGTTCGTTGTCTTCTGGCCACAGTTCCAAGTCTGAGTCTGATTTAGACAGATTGTTATCGAGTCATGTAAGGAAGGAGCAAGGGGTTAGGGATGGGAAGGAAATTTGGACTAACACTGTGCCACCACAAACCAGGGGATCAATGTGGCGTGAAGAAACTTCTTACCTCAGGGATGGAGATCTGGAGGGGGATGACAGTGAGAGTACTCTTTACTGTGAAGGAGCTAGAAGCTGGGACCACTACAGAGGGGCTGGAGCATTTGTTACATCGCAGAAGTCCTCCAAAGAAAGCTCAGAACATCTTTCCATTAGCTCTGGAAAGCATTACAACTCACCCGCCAGCTCTTCTAGCAGAGAGGAATGGCAGTCTCATAAAAGACGATCTCAAAGCCGGCAGAGTGTTCATGATCTGAAGGGTACCAAGCTTGAAAACTCTGTGGGATATTCTACTGATGTATCTTACCCTCAAAGTTCAGGCTACTATTCGGTTGAAGGAGAAGACGGTCAGGTAGAGGAATTTGACTTTGAGGAAACAAATGATCTGAGCTACACAACAAACTGTGAAACTGAAACCTATTTAGTCTATGAAGAGTCTCCTGCAGTGACGTGGACAGAGACGTCCTTAAGTTCAAGTGGGGATAACATTGAAAGGACGTTCCCCCAAAAGACTGATCAACGCTTAAGAAATCATCTCCCTCCTCATCCTGGTGGTGTAGAATTTCAAGCTGACGGTTTTACTGTCAAACGTTTTGGACGCGCTGTACTTGATTTTAGCTCTGCTTTGCGGGGTGCTTTACGCAAACTTGAAGTGCCCGGAGCGGTAAATCCTGAAGAGCAGACAGACTTTGAAATCTCAGAACCTTCTGGCCTGCATACGATGGAGTGGCCATCAAAACCTTTGAGCTACGAGGCAAATATTAAACAAGCATCTGGTGCAACTCAAAGAGGAGATGTAATTACTTATGGTTATGCTTTTGAGGAATTTCCCAAATTAGACAAATCACATACTTTCTCTACGGTGTCTGTGCTAAAAGAAACCCAAAACAGCCTTAAACTGGAGTCTATGAAAGTTTGCCAAAGTTTAGACATGATGTCTCCGTGTCCTGAAGTTTTCACAGTCTGGCCTGACACTTCAGTACCTGACGAACTCCTTGAGAAACCCGCAGAGAACTCAACCGAAGAACCTACAAAGGTTCCTGACGGTGCAAATCTTGAGGCTCAGCTCTTACAGCACACAACAGCCGAATCCTTGTCGACCTCCGTCATGGTCAACGAATCCATTGCAGTGGAAGAACCGGGACTAGCCAATGTGCCACGGCAGCCTGCCGCAGATGTTCCTGTAGACCCGGAGGTCAAACCAGAGGAAGACGACACAGAACTAAGTCAGCTGGATGAATATAAGCTGAAGTGTGTGCGGACCTTTCAGGAGATACTGCGGGAGAAGAGGGAGTCTAGAAGAAGCCTCGTCAGCATGTCTACCTTCTCTCAGGATGACTCGGAACAAGGTAGCCAGGGCATAATTTTAAGTTGCATGGTTTTGCTTTATGTGGGTTTTGTTTGTAAATTTTAGTGTGAGATAAAAAAGAGATACAAACCCATTTTGTGATGGCATATCTTTAGTGTGACCCAGCTTTTGTGGGTCATTAAAAAAACGGACTATCTTTGGTAACAAATGAGCCATTTTATCAACAGTTCTCTTGGTTTTATTGTACCAAATGGACTGCTGAAATCCTAATTTGGTATAGGGGTGTCCCGATACCAGTTTTTCCTCAAACAGAAAATATATTCTTTAAATTGGGTACTAGCTAATACCAAGTACATCATGACCTCATTGATTTGGGCCAGGTCACATCACACAAATAAGATAAACTTTACTTGAATCATTTACAACAACTGTAACGTTTTTTCAGACAACTTCAATTATACAACTGTAGCAAACTTCCAAGCAACAACAAGCTAACATTAGCTACATTAGCTTGCTGTTCTATGTTGCCTTGCCCTTTTATCATTAACGTCTTTTCTGGGTGGTCCGGTACAGTCTTTGACACGTTTCCTTTGAGTTTGGTGTAGTCCGTTGTTGTGTTGCAAGTATAAAAAAATAAGACTGTGCATTTTTTATATGATCCTGCCTACATCGAGGCAAGTCTCTGCTCAAAGCAAACACAGCCAGGGTTGTGTGGATTTTTTTTCAACTCGTATATATTTCTTAAACATGGAACTGACAAATTGTAAACTGTAACACTAATTAACTAAGTAAAGGAGTATCGACACCAGTATTGGCATCGGTTTCGAGTATCGGAGCTTTTTGTGTGAGTACTTGTAAAGATGCTGGTATCGGGACACCACTAATTTTGTACCTGCTTGTGTGTGACGTATCAGCTGCCGTTAGTGTCCCTTGCTTCTCTTCAAAGTGTCAACAGTATCCATTTACTAAATTACAAAACATTAGTTACCTCCTCGGAAAGCAAGTCTGACATTAACGGCCGAGGATAGAGAGGAGGTATCAGGAGCCATCTTTATGACAAATTATCCACATTAATGAAACATTTATGACCTCAGACCCTGTCTATGTGGGAAAACTCAGTGATGCTTTTAAAGCCCAACGTGTCTGACAGATTGAAGCATCCAGCGTTTGTCTGGGTGTTTCTCTTGAGTCCAACCAATCAATGACCATTTGTCTTTCTTGTCTTTTTTTCTTTCTCGTGCTGTTTTACAGATGGGAGTCAAGACAGAGAGCAGGTCACCTCTTTTGTGGTTATCTACATTAAACATTCAAACATTGTTAAAGATGCTGGTTTTATGAAGTTTCTCTCTTTTATGTGGATTTTTTGTTGTTGTTTTGATATCGATTTCATTGATTTGAAGTAAATGCTTCATATAGAATGAACACAAAAGAGTCCTAACCAAAGTTAACAATAGTATCAGAAAATTCGGAATGTTCTTTTTCATTCCTGCTGGTTTTCTTTTTGCAAACTAAAGAGAATAAAGGAAGAAAGATTGATTGAAAGGCCCTTCTTGGCATGCAAACTGAAACTCAACCAACACTTTTTTTCATCCTGGCGGTTCTGTTATTTGCTTTTCATCTCATCTCTGTGCATGTGCATGCTCCACTCTTATTAAAGCGGACGTCCAGGATTCAAACCGCTAAATGACCTGTGACCTACCATTTCAGAGCCAAGACCAAGATGGTGACCCCGCAAAGCTCCCGTGGGCCAAGCCAGGGTCAGTTTAAGTCTTTAATTTATTTTTCCTGTGTGATGCTGAGAGAATGGTGCGGCGTTTACTGTGATTTGTTTGTTTTCTTTTTGTTTGTTGTTACAGGGGAGGCACGCCTTTTGGCATCGATAGCATGCCAGACCTCCGCAAGAGGAGGCCCATCCCTCTCGTTAGTGAACTGGTGAGTTTACTCATTAACCCGTCCATAACTACTTTTTAAAGTATCAGTAACCGTGTTTCCATCAAGGCTTTTTGATGCGCATTTAGAAGTGTCACATTAAAAATGCGAAAAAAAAAGTCGGATGGAAACAGCAAAATTCTAATAAAAAATCCTCAATTCGCTAGAAAGTTTTTACGCTCTCTTGAGGTGGTTTTTGGATGATTCGCAAAGTAGTTAATGCACAAAACGGGAGATGGAAACACGTTTGCTGAATAAATTCTGACGTAGCGCATATTTACCTCACGTGACGTTCAGCTGTTTCCGCTTTCCTGCCTCGTCCCGGATGTTATCATAAACGTGCGAAAACATGGCTGCGAACAACAACAACAGGTACGTGTGGACTGACGAAGAGACGAGAACATTTCTCTCTCTAATTCGCGAAAGAAACGTTAAATTAGCTGTTAAGCCGTTAAATTGCTCCATTTTCCCGAGATGATTAGCCTCTGCTAGTTAGCAAGTTTCACTTCCTGTTTACTACCGCAAAGCTTGTCGCCGACGTCTGACATAATCACGCATTGCTTAGCCTCGTCTGACGTAATCACGCATTGCTTAGCCTCGTCTGACGTAATCACGCGTTGCGTAGCCTCGTCTGACGTAATCACGCATTGCGTAGCCTCGTCTAACGTAATCACGCGTTGCGTAGCCTCGTCTGACGTAATCACGCGTTGCGTAGCCTCGTCTGACGTAATCACGCGTTGCGTAGCCTCATCTGACGTAATCACGCGTTGCGTAGCCTCATCTGACGTAATCACGCGTTGCGTAGCCTTGTTTATTCACATCAAACAGTCGAGAGGGAAACTAGATGGAAACAGTCAAGATTCGAATTTTTAATTTATTTAATTTTTTGCGAATTTTGAAAAGTTGGAATAAAATTCACTCTACAACTGGATGGAAACACAATTTGTGACGCCAAATTTTTGTAATACATATGAATACATTTTTAGAAACAAGACATCAATAAAATATTGCAAAACAATTTTTGTGTCACTGAGATGAACACTTGTTGAGATATTTGCCTGTGAAGTAACAGGAAGTGATGTCAAAGGGGAGGGTCATGTGAACAGAGCTTTGCTACAACAGCTAACAACACAGACTGTAGAGAAGAATCTGATGTTTCTTAAGATTATTTTGAGTCTCTATCAGAGAGATGAAGACGAGTCAGAGTTCAAATAATATAGTTTCAATAAACAAAGACCAGAGAGTTTTCTTTCTTAATGAGTTCCCCTCTGATGTCACTTCCTGTTTCACTATGGCTGAGCCAAGTTCAAAACAAAGTATGCCAGTTTTGGGACAAACTGGGTTAAATCGTGTGTGTTATTCCAACTTTCTTAAATACAAAGATGTTTTCTTTGACATTTTGAATGAAGAATATGCATGTCACAGGCACTTTAATCTGACATTACATTGACTGAACTCATAAAATACAGCAGGTGACCTTTGATTCAATTAGTTAAAGTTTTCTTGGTTCAGGGATAAATTTCCAGAGGAAAACCTGTTTTGTTTGTCTTTAATGCTTGTTTTTTTTTTTTCTCTTGTTTTTGTTGTCTTCGAATGTTGCTGTTCTCTGTCTCTCTGCGCCCAGGCGATGGTGAGTAAAACACAGCAGAGATTTCAGCTGCTAAAGGCTCCAGTGTTTGGTTTTGTCTTTAACTGTGAGCTGGCCTTGGCTGTGCCGACGCGTTTTATTCTGCTCAGTTCTTGGACTGGAGATAAGCCTATGCAGGCATGCAGATTGGTCAAATGGTTCTGCAAACATTTCTTCTGTCGATACTTTCTCAGTTTCCCTCACAATGCAGCGTTTGACTTCAAGAAATAAACATTTTAATCAACTTCCTGTGCTTCAGAGCACTTTGCACAAACCAGTCCAAGTTAACGTCACAATTCTGTCTGTGTGCGTGGGTTTGGCCTTGTTTTTCCTACATTATGGGGACAATTTTCCTGAAAAAGCAGCATCGATGCACGTTTTACATAGATTTATTTCATATTTAAAATTTACTGAAACTTTCTTATTTAAGATCGATTCAAATTTTTTTTTAGTCTTTAAAGAGTCTGATCGGTTTCTCCTTTTCTCTGCCAGTCCATAATCCAGTCCAGGAAGGCCGGACTCACGCAATCCCTGGCCACACGGACCTCACTGAAGGACGAAGAGCTTGTGAGTTGTCTAACACACACACACACACACACACACACACACACACACACACACACAC